AGAAGGATACAAACGTTTGAGAATAAAGGCATGAGAAAAGTCCTTGGCATCTTCTTTTGGGAACATAAAACCAATGAGTTTGTGCGGAAGATGGTTGAAAGTTTTGTGAGCCGTCAGGAACCTCTTCTCGCGAATGTCAAACGGAGAAGAATGGTGTTGTTTGGACACATTACATGGCATGAAAGCCTGTGCAAGACCATCATGCAAAGCACCGTTGAAGGACGCCAACTTGTTGGACAATGTCAAATGATGCACAGGTAAGACTATACCAGAATTGCTGATGTCTGTCGTTGATAGACTGTTGTGGAGGAAATTAAGTGTGGCTTCTGCCTTCAGATCCCCACCACGATTACAAAAGTCAAGGGGATGATAATAATGATGATGATTTTTTGAAGGATATGAAAAGATTCAGTAATAGCTTTATTCACATACCAAGTTGATTGATTTTTGAATTTTTATGAAACCGCTAAATTGGACAAGATATTAAACACATGTTGGTAGGTGTAAACGGTAAAACCCCCATTTTTACAGGTTTTACAAATATTCCTAGTGTTACTGACTGTGAAAGAATAAGAAAAAAGGAAAACATTATTAAGTAGAGAGAACAATAAAAGAAGAGGAATCAATAAGACAGTAGATAACGATTGACATTGCATTTAAATCTTTGAAGATCAATGTTGGCTGGAAAGCAAGAACCCGGGAAAGAGTTCCACAGGCGAATAGTGCGAAAAAATAAACTGTTAGCAAAGAACTTACGTGTGTAAACTATTTACATTGTTCGGACTGTTGTCCTCATCTTTATTGCCATATTCACGACGTTTCGTCCGTTGTACACTCCGGTCTCCTTCAGGTAATATTTCTTGGAATTTCGAACCGAACCGTTTATTTAGTCCACGGGTGAATATGGCAGTAAAAATGAGGACAGCAGTCTGAACAATGTAAATAGTTTGGACTGTTAAAAATATAGAAATATTGACAGATGTTGAAAGAACTTAGTGTTACATGGAGCCAATTCAACTGTAAATTGAAAATACCTTGTTGCCAGTCTAGTACTGTGCTTAAATTCATAAAGTCTAGGTACAGTGCTTTCCCAAACGTTTTTTTCTCTGGGTTGCATTTTCGGAATGAAAATTTACTCGCGCATCATCAAATTTTATGTCATAAAAAAGTACATTTGAAAATAAAAACAGAGAATGGTTTAAAGGGCGATAACCGTGGGTTCGAAGTCATAAAATTATCATTGATAACTCTCTCCTCTAATCTGCGGACCCTAGTTACTATATTCTTAATACTTGATATAATGCAAAAATAACACAATGATAAAATCGGTAAATAATTATTTATAACTATTTATACTGGGACTCGTGCAGGCAATTGCAAGTAATCCATAATGATATTTTAAATTTTGAAATCATTTTGTTTTTGGCATATGATTTTTTTTTAAACTGTTTCTAAATCTTTGATTGACTTTCAATCATTCCGCCTCACCTGCTATCCTCTTCTGCCACAACTATGAGGCGTACCACACTTTTTAAGGACCACTTGACTCTAGGTACCGTAGAGGAATCAGGATAATTAAAATGAAAGTATTTATAGAAAAGACACGGGGAAGCTACATTATGATAGTCGGAAAGTGACTGAAGCCGAGATGCCAGGTTAGCACCATATAGTAAATCGGAAAGCCGAGTTTGAATTCCAGTCTGGTTCGTTAAATTCAATTACGGGAAAATACTCTTGAGAAAGGTATGAATCCACCCCCGCTACGGGTTAAATAGTAAGATTTTTATCTAGAAAAATAATTGCTATTCCCAAATATTGTTAGTGTGATATTCACTAGCAAAAATATTCTCACAATCCAAAATATGTTTCGTCTTTAAATAACCCAGAAAGGGTTGATAAACCGTAAGAAAACAAATCACTGAATCTTATCATAATATTCTGGCCGTATCTCCTGCTTCAATTATTTATATATATATATATATATATATATATATATATATACACTTATGCCAGTATTTATCACTGAGCCACACTCCTTTCCGTCAACGTGCGTGACATGCCTATAATAAGACCTGTTGAAAGTCAGACTACTGCCATGAAATGTGAACAGAAGTATCCTCAATCGAAACTCGAACGTGGTCTGTTGATTCTGTTTTCTAATAACGGTTGCACTATTTCGTATCTCCCGTCCATGAACTAATATCCTTATCGCTTCTGATTTCGCCTTTCCCTTCGTATTCCAATGTTGAGATGTACGTTCCATACGAGCAGCTTCTGCCCACAAACCACTCCCTTGTGGAACCAACTCCCAAGCGGATGCTTCCTCAATCACTACAATCCTAACCAGTTCAACTCTAAGATTAACTGTTATCTTCTTCACATAAGCCTGCCATATAAACAGTGCCTCTTACCTGCAACCCTCTGCCTCGATTGGCTCTCAGGCCTTGTACAACAATGGGAAAAAATAAGTACGTTTCAGCCTGGTTTTCAGAAGAGTTGAATAGATTGAACTCTAGTGGGCATGAGGCCGAAGTTTAAAATGTTAGTATTCCAGTCATGAGACCCTGGTTCGAATCTCACCATTGTCAATTCGTCATTGATAATATCAGCCTGGATAAACGATTCCAGCATGCAAGACCATTGGAAAGTGCCTGAAAACCATATCAAGAGTGGACCCAAACCTTGCGAGTAAAAATAAATAGACGAAACTGTTCAAAAACTGTCAATAGTTGTAAAAGCTACAAGTCATTGTGACCGAGGGTTTGAATGTAGTCGTTATGTTCAAAATGTTGATCATGGCAAATTTCGCGCTCTCCTCCAGAAACTATAACTAAGGTCTGCTCATCGTGGTTGTAGGGCAAAACCACCGGTGGGCCCTGCGGCTATTGAATAAACACAAATGTCTCTAAACAAGTGTCTGCAACCCTGGATTTGTTACCCACCCTATCAGACAGGCATACTTGGATATGAGTAGTCAATCCTGCTTTGAAATCTTATATATATGTTCTGTTTATACCAGTTTCAGTCAATGCCTTCTCCAGTATTTCTAGTATTTTTCCATTATTTATTGAATTACTCTAACTAGTATCATAGAATTTTGTTGTTTTCATCACAACATTTCGATCCTTGGGTTCGCCAGACTTCTTCAGATATATGTTGCATTCGGTAATCCATCTCATCTTGGTTGACGTCCTCTTCGGAAATGGTGGGATGTTTCGTAAATATTTACCAAATAATCATGATGCAAACTCGGAAACTGGTCTGAATATTTAACGAAACATTGTCAATGTTTGATCTCGAAATTTACAATATAGTAGATTATTTTACAATGTTTTTTAATAATTGTATCCTTTTTGTCAATTATATAAGGTTCAAGAGCTACAGTCCAGACCTTATTCGAAGCGACTTTTTGGTTATTACGCAAGCTGAAGGAGAACCTCAGAGGCTGTCTTGAAGACATCGAGAAGATGAAGGAGGCTAATTTCTTCAACTTTCAATATTCACTTGGATTTATGAGGTGCATTCTGGGTGTCTTGAGAGGTTTTAAGGGAGGCGCTTAAAAATGTCTTATATTATTGTAAATTAGCGTATTATTACTGTCTATATATCTAAAGTTGACCTGCCAACTTTTGTTATTCCAGATTGAAAGAAACGGCCGTAACAGCTCTTTGAACACACTCTCCTCAACACTGCTTGTCAGGTGACTATTTTACAGAACAAACTCAGGACATGAAGACAATCTGGAAGCGCGCTATGCCGTAAGGTGTTATATTGATAGAAACTATCCTTCGGCCTCTTTATAGTCCATACTTTGCTTCTGATGGCTTTTGGTTGTTCCCAAAGCTGAAGAAGAACTTCATTTTGAAGACATTGAGAAGATGAAGAAGGCTGTGATAAGGGTCTTGGACGTCTTTATTTATGTCTGATTTCCATGGAGTCTTCACGGAGTGGCTGGAACGCTACAATAAGTGAATTGAAGTATCCTACTTTGAAGAAGATTAGAGTTTTGTACTTCTTTGAAATTAATAAATATCTCTCCTGAAAAAATCTCAAAACACCCGGAATACACTTCGTATCTCAAGCAATAGAGAAGAGCATCAAAACTGTCTCTCACGCTCCCTACAATCCAGACCTTGCACCCTGGGAATTTTGGTTGTTACCCTAACTGAAGGAGAACCTGAGGCGCAGTCATTTTGACGATCTTGACAAGATGAAGGAGGTCGTGGCACTGGTCCTGGATGCTTTTTACTTTGGCTGACTTTCATGGGGTCTTCACGGATTGGCCGGAGAGCTACAACAAGTGCATTGAAGCCAGAAGATAGCTATTTTGAAGGAGATTAGAGTTTTGTACTTCTTTGAAATTGATAAATGTCTATCTTGAAAAAATCCCAAAACTTCCGGAATGCACCTCGTATCTCAAGAAAATAGAAAATAGCATTGCCACATTTTGTTCATGTTTTTCTATTATACAAGTGCGAATCAATAAGTACGTAGTCTAAAACGTAATTATTAGCTAATATTTTTCATCTAAGATTTTCACTTTATAAAATTCTATCTTTGTGATTAATATTCACTGTCGAAGTCTATTAATAAGGAAGACGATTATGTTGAATAATAAATATACTTTGCGTAAAATAAATGTTTTTTCTCTATTTTTTCATGCACTTCATAAACATTTTTTTGTTATTTTTGTTTTCTTTTTGCAACGCAATGCTTTCTACGGAAGCCCCCATTCACCCCTGCCAAACATTTCTTTTTCTTTCTATTACGCCTCATACTTAACTGATAACCAATTTTCGATTCATTTTTCTGTAATTGTGTGTCCCGGTAACCACGCCTCATCCATAATAGAAAATATTACAGCTTCTGCCAATCGTTTTTCCCAAAGTGTAATTTTCTTATTACTCGACTCCATCCTAAACACCATTTATGCACCACCACTCTTATCAATTTCTGATTTTTCTTTGGTAACTGCTTTTTGATTCGAGATTTTAACGGAAATGGACGTTCAATTATTCTTTCAATTCTTCTGTCTCGTTCTCTTCTACTTATTATCTACGGCGATCTTTCTATCACTAAACTTTTTCCTCTTTTATATCAAAACACCATTTTCTTTCCTTGGCATTTCCCGCTTGTAAAAAAAAAAAGGGAAACGAAATGAAATTTTGCTTTGCTTCAAATTCATTTTTGTCCGTTTATATATATATATATATATATATATATATATATATATATATATATATATATATATATATATATATATATATATATATATATATATACTTTAGTTGAAAATCTTAATACAGCTGCATTCTGATCTTATCATATAGTGATATTATTACTTAAACGTTATTTTTAGTGGATACTCGTATTTAAGTAGACTCTCTGTTTATTAATAAATAAACGGTGGATTCATTTATTTTCGTCTGAAAATTTGAGAAATCTTATTAAGAGAAAAACATGCGCTTGGTAAAGGAAACTATCGTTAGAGTCAAAGAAATATTTGCTTTTATAAAGGACTTTATAAGACACTATTCAACTTCCGTGGCTGTGACGGTCGAAAGCACGTTGGTCATTTAATGACTCCTTCCTCTCTCTCAAGGGTGGCGCAGGTTCGAATCCTGCTCGAGCGCATAAAAATTTCTCGAATATTCAGGCTTGTAGACGAAAATAGATAAATATACTGTTTTATAAATAAACAGAGCGTTTATTCAAATAAAAGTATCCACTAAAATAAGGTTTAAGTAATAAAATCCGTGGGATTAATAAATAAAAATCTATCTTTTTCTTTAGAAATATAGTGATATATCTATATGATACTAAAAGTCAGTGATTGCGTCCGTCCGGCGCATAATGATTTAAGTGGTGTTTATACAGTATTTTTATTTTAACTTTCTTCAAACAATCTTTTTTTTAATCAATTTTTTTTAAAATTAAAGACAGACACGAAAATAGATCCCGCTTTGCTGTTGCGTCCAGTTGTTTGTAAAGTAATTATTTATATTCCAGCTTTCTTTAAACAAACAATATTTAAAAAATATTTTTTTGTATATTTCAAAAATATTTTTAAGTGAATATGATTTAAAAATATATTTTGGCATATTAAAAAAATATTTTTAAGTTAATCTGATTTAAATTTCAAGTTTATCCTGGAAGTTCTATTCCTATTTAATGCTGAAAAACAATCAGTAAAACATTAAACATGAACTTGTAAACTAAACCAACGATGACCCGTTTATCTTTTGTCCTTTCCTCAATCCTCCCCATACTTAGTCTTTTCTCTCACTTTCACTCTCTATAACCCCCTGCCTACTAGTCGCATTCCCGCCTTGAAATGATTGAAAAAAATGTTTCGTTCTCAGATCTAATTTTTTTACACATTCTCTTGTCCAGCTCAGGAAGGGAGCAGAGTTGTTGTTGTTGTTATCATTATTAAAGTACATAAAGCAGCATATTTTTTGTGATATAATCGCAGGGGAATTTAGTTTCTCAGTACACTATCGTTGTTCGATATATATCCTGAAATCCTGGAGCTATACATTCCTCCAAAGAATTATAATCACATATGGCCTTCCCAGTTATAATGTGTCTGACCAAAAGTGTGATCCAAAAACTCGCCAAAATCAATGAAAAATTATTCTGGGTGGTTGGATGGCTAGGGAGAGCAAAGCGGGTACATAATGGAGAGTAAGTGTGCGAGGGATGGGAGAGCCTGCTTATCGTTCAGACAAGCCAAGTGTTCACGCTCTCCAAAATCGCAAATGGTCTGTTGCGTATTGGAACCTTAATTGCTAATTGGCACTTCTGGCGTTCCCCGTAACGATCTCCTGATAGCGTGATCGACTCATTTTTCAAAATTCTAGTGTTTTTGTAAATGCCTTAGCGTGCCACGTAAATACGTCGCCTTCTTTTCTGAATACGCCCCATTTCTACCCTCTACTTCAACTATTGCCTTTTCGCGCCTTGAACGTATTATCACGTTTGAGAACGAACGGTAGCCATTAAAATCTATTTCTTCTTAATGTTCCTTTTCTGATTTTATTTTATTTTCTGTTCCTTTTTTTATTGTTTTATTTATTTCTTTCTCTCGTCAACATTTTCTCAATCTGCCTTAAATACGTGAGGGCCAAGAGTAGTCATTAAATGGATTGTTTTATCCCTACTTTTTCTTATCACTTTTATCATTCTTTCTTTCTCTATTTCTTCTCTTCTATTTATATTTCATTTTCTACTTTTTTTTAGTTTTCGTTTTTTTCATCTTTCTTTTCATTTTTTTTCTTTTTAACTTACATCATTATAATGTTAATGACACACAAATACACCTTTAAAAATTATTAACGCTGTTACAAAAACTTAGTTTCTCTAGATTTTTTTTTGTTTCTTTTTGTCTTTCTGCATCAAACTTTCTCATGACTCGATTATATTTATTTTATAACGTACCGCCACCATTTTCTCTCTTTCTCTCTCTCTCTCTCTCTCTCTCTCTCTCTCTCTCTCTCTCTTCTCTTTCTTTCTCTCAGTACGCTTCTATCGACTTCTTTTTTAATCAATATTTCTTAAGCTCTTTTTCCTTCTTTTTTCTTCCTTTTTATCTCCGTCTTTTCTATTGTTTTCCTTTTAGTTTGTCTTTCCTTTTTTGGTTTCTGACATTTTCTTTCTATCTATTTTTTTACTTATTTAATTCTATCGTTTTCTTTCTTTCTCTCTGTTTTTTCGTTTTGTTTCTATCGTTCACTTTTTCCCTTTTTCACTCTTTTTTGTTTATATAGTTTTCTTTCTTTCTCTTTTCTCTTTGTTTCTATTGTTTGCTTTTTTCTCTTTTTCTCTCATTTTTTTTTTTTTTTGTTTCTATCGTTTCCTTTTTGTCTTTTCCATTTGTTCCTATCGTTTTATTTCTCTCTTTTTCTCTCTTTTCGTTTCTGGCGTTTTCTTTCCCTGTGTCATCCTTTTTCCGATCGTCTTGTATATTTTTCCGACAGTCTTCTATATTTCTTTCTATTTTTCTGTTATTTCCTTTAACTCATTTTTTTTGTTTTTGTTTTCAATCTTTTCTTTCTTATTTTCTCTTTCTGTCTTTCTCTCCCGTCTCTTGCCCTCCCCTCTCTCTCTCTCTCACTCTCCTTTCTATTTTCTTTCTGTTATTTTCTTTCTTTATCTCGGTTTTTCCCTTTTTTTTATCGTTTTCTTTCATTAATTCTCTCTTTTTCTTTTTGATTCTGCCGTTCTCTTTATTTCTCTCTGTCTTTTCTTGTTGCTTCTATCACTTTCTTACTTTTTCACAATACTTCTTAATTTCTTTTGCTTTCTCCTTATCTCTCTCTTTTTTTTTTTTAATTCGCCGTCACATTTAATCAATTCCTCTTTTTTATGTCGACACATGGAGAAAAAAAAAGAAATGATCTCTTTCTTTCTTTCTTTCTTTCTTCTATTTCAGTTCAATTGCTTTTGTTCTAATTCATTTTTGCTTTTCTCCAGACTCCCCCCTCTCTCTCTTTCTCTCCCTCTCTCTTTCTCTCTCTCTCTCTCTATCTGTCTATCTATCTATTTATCAATCTCTTTATCTCTTTTTCTCTTTCTCTCCCTCTCCATGACCCTCTCCCTCTTCCTCTCTCTCTCTCTGCCTTTCTCTCTCTCTCTCTATCTCTGTCGTCTGTCTCTCTCTCTGCCTATCTCTGTCTGTGTCTGTCTATCTGACTCTCTCTCTCTCTCTCTTGTTTGTTTTCTCCGAGGATCTATCTACACCACCCTCTCCCTATTCCACACGTTTTTTACCCATACCATTTATTTAGTTTTATATCAGTTTTCTCTTTATTCGATAATCCCAGTCCTTTCTTTTCCTTTTTCTTTTCCTCCTTCTCATTTTTACTTAATTCATGGGCTTGTAAGATCACCGCTAGCCATAAATTTATCTTCCGTTCTGTTTTCTCCTCTGACTTTCAAAACTTCAGAAACTTTTATCGATTATGAGGAACCAATATTTCCACTTTTCTTTTTTTTTTTTTTTTTTTTTTTTTAATTTTCACTGGAAACTTTGCCAATTTCCGAGGTCGTTTTCCCTCATTTTTTCCTCTTTTTCAATTATAATTGCCTTTCCGCCTTCTGCCCAACCCCGAGCGGAACCCATTGCCGGGACACAAAATTAACAATTACCGTCAGCCATTGACAAATAACGCAGTATTAAAACTCAAGAGACACTCTCCAAATCGTCAAACTCACCCCTTCTTACTTTTCGCTCCACGCCAAAAATAAAAGCAAAAAGAGAAAATACATTAATAATCCATTCATTTATACATTTTCCATTTTTCCTTTTCCGTATTAAATCGTTCGTCAAAAGCAAAATTAAGTTTTAAAAGTACTATATTTACTGCCAAAAATTCTTCAATCTTAATTCAGTGAAAGGCACAAACTCATTTCATATGCGGAGGAGAAAGAACACGTCAAACTGTTTATATGCTTCCGTATAAAATTATTCCTTGCTTTTCGCCACTTCATTTTTATATGAATAAAGGTTACCTTGCCTATTGAAAATGACATAAAGCGAAGAAACAAATTACTATTAATTTAGATGGGAAAACATTTTAAGTATTCCTAAATAGAAACTTCCTCCAGACAGTAGCGAAAGAAAGCGAGAAGAAAGGACTAAACTTAAACTACAAGAAGACAGAATGCATGGTTATCAGCAATAGGAATCTTCCCAAAATGCAAATAAGAAGTCGTGAATACTAAGTAGGTACATAAATTTAAATATCTGGAAAGAGGGCGGAAAGTGCGACACTGAGATCCAAAGACGTATTGAGATGACCAAAGATGCATTCCAAAAGCTAAGCAGAGTATTAAGAGACAGGAAAAACAAAGAAAAAAATACTGAACTGTTACGTGATATCAATCCTCCTTGTATGGCAGCGAATGCTGGACAATCTCCTCAAAGACTTGAAGCAACTGAAATGTGGTTCTACAGAAAGATGCTGAGGATACCATGGGTCGAACATGTGAGCAACAACGAGGTTTTACAGAGAATGGAAGCAAAAAGGAAGCTTATACTTAACATCAAGAAGAGGCAGTTGAAATTTCAGGGGCACGTAATAAGAAAAGAGGGCTTGGAAAATTTGATACTCACAGGAAAGATTAAGAGAAAGAGGGACAGAAGAAAGCAGCGCGTAACATACTTGATGGACTTGAGTAAATGGATGGTGGAACAGGGATTGGGAGAAATAACAAAAAGAGAAAACTTATTAAGAGCTACAAGAGACAGGAAGATATGGCGGGCCATGATCGCCTACGTCCTGCAGGGACACAGCACAAAAAAGAAGAAGGAGAAATCAAAAAACTACCTTCTTCTTCTTCTTCTTCTTCCTCTCCTCCTTCTTCTTCTTCTTTTTCAACGTCAAAAACTTGATGTTTATCATCTACTATGGCTGACGTCGAATGTTTGAAATATGACGGTAGGCTGGACTGCTAAGGAGAATGCATTTTTTCTATCAGCCATTTCCTTGTAAACGCTTAAAATACCAACTGAATAAATCTAATTTTTTTTTAATTAAAGCCATACGTTTTTGCAGCTATTGTTGCAGAAACAAAACTTACGTAAAATGAATAAAATTATTTTGGAATCCGGGAGAAAATGTTTCTTCTTTTGAATAACTCAAAATTATCTTTCTTTATCATAGTCAATCGAGGTTAGAGATCTTAATGTGTCCCACGATTAAGCTCAAAATTGAAGAAGCCTGAAGGGAGGAATGCTGTGATTGGAACAACAAATATAATGATACCAGTTAAGATAATAATAATCGTGGGCGTTGGTAATACTATGTGCTAGTAGTGTAACGGATACCGGCAGAGAAAATGAAATCGACGAACCGCGTTCAAATTCCAGCAAAGCTGAATTTGTTCACCAGAATACTTTTGGGAAACGTATGATTCGATCTCTTCTCCCTGCAACTGTGGGTTAAATAACAATTTGGACCGTGTTCTCTAATCTAAAAGAAGAAAAATTGAGAAATCTCTCTATGACCTTTCCCAAGAACACATGGTAATTCGCAGATAATAAATAAAAGGAAAGTGTGGAGAGTCATGATCGCCTACGTCCTGAGGGAACATGGCATTTTAAAAAAATAGTCTGTTGCTTTCACTTTCCTATTAATGTCCTTGGAAAATGCCTATATCTAACCCTTTTCGCCTCAACTAAGAATTGTGTTAGAAGAGTAGACTCGCTAGCATTAGATGGCAACGACTATAAGAAAAGGAAAATTCTAACTAAACAGCGGAGAAGACAACGGGAAGTCAATCTTGTAGCTTCCCCAAGAATATGTGGCAATTCACAGATATTAAAGAAAAGGAAGTTTTGGAGAACCGTGACCGTCAATGCCCAGAAGAGACATAGTATTTATTTTTGTTTTTTTTTAAATGATCTTTTTATTAAAATGGATCAATAAGTTTTAACTAAATTTTGATCCGTATATTATTCGATTTGTGTGATTAATATTATTTACTAAATTGACAATACAGAAAATTGTGTTGAAATATTTGTTGTGTAAAAAAACTTTTATCCACAATTCCGTTTAGGACCTTTTTCTTGACCTCTACTGTCCGATTATTACTTCTGTTTAGCACGAAAAATATTATCTTTACATATGTTATTTTTTACCATTAAGGTTGTGGCTTATATTAGCTGGATTTTGATCGCAAATTATCATTGCATAATTTTCTGTCTGAGTGATAGTCACCAATGAATTAATTTAAAAAATAAATGCGTTTCACACAAAACAAATGCTTTTTTATTTCTTTTTTTTTTCGTGATAAGGATACAGTTTTATTGATATACCTACGTATATACAAGGTTTTCCGTGCGTAGACAAGGATTCTCTTTGTTGAAGATGTTTTTGTTTGCTTTTTTTTGTTTTGTTTTCTTATCGTTCTTGTTTACGCACATATGCTTTTCTCGTAGCTAAAATATTTTTCCATTAATACAACTCCGATAACAGTCTAACTTGAGCTGTTTTCATGGAGAAAAGTTCAATAACTGGGGATCGTAACACAAGCAGACCTACCCTGTTTGATGGCATATTACACAATCCCGACCCGAACCGCATTTAATACTACACTAGATATTAATAACCTACGGTTACCTTAAATTCGTTTATAAGACACTGGTGAAAATATGGCAACTGTGGTTCGTTCCTGAATGCAATTTTATCTAAAATTCTCAGTTCCCTAACTTTTGTACGTTTATTTCTTCGAAATACACGCAACTGGAACTTTCTATTAAAATTTTCGCAATACGCAATTTCGAATTTACGATGTGACTACCAATTAATCCATATATCTTAATAATGAAATCAATTTCACTTCTTTTATATTATCTGTTTGATTATTTAAATTATAATGAAAAGAAAACGGCTTTACAGGGTGTAGTGGTCGCGAATTGTATTGACCTACATTGTCCTGTTTTAAACGCAACAATGATTATGTGAAACAAAACTAATAATCTTAATCGTATAATAACTGTTTTGCCTTTCCCCTTCGTTAGTTCGCGCGACCGTTACACCCAGCCAATACCCCATAAATAATGAACTATTCCTTTTTTTATCGCGTGCAAAGTCAAAAAAAATATCCACTACGCTACTTGGTTTCAGTGAGAAAATGAAACAAAGAGAAGATAGAAGTGTTTAACGTCTGTTTCAGTAAAATGGAATCTTTTCATTTGTACCCCCTTACTTCTTAAAATAACGACCAGAATTCATATTTATGATTGTTATTGCAATATTTTATTAAAGTTGTTAAGCTCAGATCTTTAACGACATGATATGGGAATTTCTATGGATATTTTATTGTGATAGAAATCGCTCATTCAATCATTAACTGCAGAATTAAGATTCATCAGAAATTTAAAATGGGAAAACCGTGTAATGAAGAAGAAAAGTAGCAGTAGTAGTAGTAGTAATAATAATAATAACAATAATAATAATAATAGTAATAATGTACTGAGCCAAAGTGGTGTAATAAAAAGGTAATTATGGGAAAGACGTAGACCGAGATACTAACACACCCACTCTTTTCTCCGTCAAATACAGTGGCATGCTAAGGACGAAATATTTTATCAGGATAGTTGGCGATGTGACATAGCACAAGAAAATAAAGATTCATGCCTTTTCCGATGGTATTAGTGCGAAATGAACAGAAGCAGCTTCAGTCAAAATTCGAACTCAGTTCCATTTCCATTTTCAATAAAGGTCACCGTAAATCTAACTCGAAGGAAGACATAGATTCAAGTCTTTTCCAAGGTCATTATTATAGGGGAAAGGCATAAGCAGTCTTAACCTGAATTCGAACGCGGTTCACCGATTCCATTTTTCTACTCGTAACCTCAGGAAGATGTGGGTTCATGTCGTTTCCTAGGTCACTAGTGCGAAGTTAGCATAAACTGCTCAAGCCGATATTAGAACTCGGTTCGCCCATTTCGTACTAATAACCGTTTCGGCATCCTACATTGCCAGTATCTACGCATCTAATTTCTGAACGACAGACTATGAAAAAAAAATACTGAAGGCGAGAAAAGGCTTTTTTCTACCATGCGTAATTACAGAATCTGCGAATGACTCAGGAATTGAACCTCAGACCTCCCAATTCATGAATAAAAATAAAAACCAACTGGCCAATTTTACTTATGGGACGTTGCAACAAAATATTATTTCGGTTGGGCCCATGAGAACATTAAACTTATTTGCTATAAATAATAAGTAAAAACGAGAAATTAAAGTTTCTGAGGCGTCTTTCAAATCAAAATCTCATTTGTTACGCGAAGTCTCGTGAGATCCCGACAAGGAAAGCAAAAGTTGTCTCCCTTTTGGAATCTCAAAATGAAATAAATAAATAAATAAATAAAAAGAAATAGAACGATAAAAACATTGAGAAAATAAGGTTCTGCCTTCGCAAAGTGGATATCCAGAGATAATAGAGGTTACATGCTGGGGTTAAAAATTCGGTTTACGAATATAAAATCATCTTTAGAGGCTTCTGGTTTGAGTATTGAATGTAATTTTATTTCGTTTTTTGTATGATTTTTTTTAATTCAAGATTATTTATCACCTAAGGTGTTTATTGATTTTAGCATAGCGCATCAAATTATTAAAATGGCCACACTTCCTTTTCATAATTCCTAAACTA